TTTTAGTGCTATTCTCCACTAAAAAGGTACTCTGCTGATGATAACATCGCAACATGATAACGATTTCCTTCACCTTAACCATTCAAGTAGTAGTACTAGTACTACCAAGTGATATCAAATTATGCTATGTACTATACGCATAACTTCTTCTTCTGCCTCGCTTCCTCTCCGTCCGTAGCTGCTTCTCGTTTTAGAAGGATGCCTCGGACTCCTTTCGACTCGTCTGGTGATGCTTCCTTCTTCTTTGAGGATGAAGATGTTTCTTGCGCCTCTTTCTTAATAGTACAACTAGTCGCTGTTGTTGTGGCAGTGGCTGTGGCATCATCTACATCTGCTCGTGGTTCTGTTGTACTACTTGTAGTATCAGCACCGGAATCAGCTGCATTTTTGTTTTTCTTCTTTTTCTTTTTCTTCTTGCCTGACGCTTCGTCTGCGTTAGAAGCTGCTGAGCCTGAGGCACTACCTTTCTTTGAAGCTGACTCCTCTCCTCCTACTTGTGCGCCACCTTCTTCTGCATTTGAACCTCCTTCCACAACGACTACAGTCGGCGTTTTAAGTTTCTTCTTCTTCATTCTCTCTTTCAAGAAGAACCTCTTTGCTTGCATATTTGCCCTCAATGTGTGTCCGCCGTCGCTGAGGAGCTCAGTGTCGATAGCCAGAGTGACGTAGGTTTCGTTAGGGATTAAGGCTTGCTCGCTCGCAAAACCCTCGTCGCCCCTTCGGAATAGCTTGCGTGCTTCTTTGCTCGACACAGACTCGAGAGCCCAAATGTTCATGTCGCGCGAATCTACAACCTGCTGTAGCTGGTGTCCTGCTAAAGCTCCTCCTAGGTCAATTGCAGCTCTCTGTTTTTCTCCGTGAGCCTCTTGTCCTCCATCCGCTCCTGTCGCTGTAGATGTAGTGCCCTCGTCCCCCTCTGTACCACCAGTCGTGGTAGTACTGTTGTTCCCTAGAAAGCGGAATCCGTATTTTCGGATCAAGTCCTTGTCTAGTTTTACAGTGAAAAAACCTAGACATTCGACCAAGACGTAGTTAGGCGCAACCGTTTTGACCAAGCCCGGCAGTTCCATTTGCTTCGCACGTGGGTTGAAAAAGATGCAATCGAAGCTGACACGGGTGTGACAAAACGAAAAATTCGAATGAAAAAACCCGGAAGAAACCGCTCTGCGAACGAGGGATTAGAGCTGCTCGCAAAAATGCGTATGCGTACCTGGTTTCTCGTAATAACCGCCTTCACGATCGATTGGTGTCTCTTACATAACCACCTTAAGAACGATAACGATGATCAAAACAACATCACTCGATCCACACTACGCAATGTCATGGTAATTTACATGAATAAAGGGAAGAAGACATTCAAGATGAACAGAAAAACCCTTGCCATAATTAAAGAACGACAGCAAAAACCCTTGTACACTCGGAAAATAGTGTAACAGCATTGCTTCGAGGAGTCTGCTTGCTTCTCGCTCTACTTCGTGTAATCTTGCTGGTGGCAGAGAGACGTCCAGAGTGACCGTTGCGGAGTCGAAGATTGCCGTTGTTTCTTAGATAATATTAAGAGCAATAAAACTTTGCAAACACATCCCGTCGGAAACCTCAACCTCCAACACCCAAACCCAAAACCTCCAACACCCAAACCCAAAACCTCCAACACCCGAACCCAAAACCTCCGACACAAAAACAAACAAACCCCAAACCCATGAACCCATGAACCCATGAACCCATGAACCCA